TGTGCTTGGCGCTCTTATTTGGTAGCTGTAATATGATAAGTCAAGTCTGGGAAAAACTGCCAGCCAAAATTTCTCTCTAATGGGAAAAATAATGCTTAGTTCTATCAAGATGATAAATGAGAAAATGCTGTTTTCTTGGACAGCTAATACCTCTTAATCCTAAAATTCAATGTAAGTCTGTTTTACCAGCTTTTAATGATCAGTGAATTGATTAAAAGGAACAAGACACAAAAATTTACAGTCATTTTTATGTACTTCCTTAAGTACACTTATGTACATTCTTCACCCTGGTGCATACAATTCTACACACAAAAGTGATAAATATTATGGAAATCAGAAGAGAAATAAATGCAAAAACTAAGCATCGTAGCAAATGTAATTCTGCCTGTTCATATTTTCTTTACCTATATATAAGATTTACAGATCCATTGGCTTCTCCTCCACAGAAACTAACTAGCTCAGTCATGATAGAGGCCCTGTCGTCTAAGTAAACCATAATACATGAATGATTTTTGAATGAATGACCAACAGAACTTATGTGATTGGAGACGGCTAATTTAAAAGGGTGTATTACACATTGATTGGCAACCCACGGCATAATATGAATGTGGTTCTTTTTAGGTCCATAGTTTTTTTTAAAGACTGAGCCAACATTTACAAATTGAGAAATTTTATGTTAAAATTTCAGACTTTTGTCTTCTTTTGAAAAATTAGTAAATCTGGCCCACATCCAGCAAGACAACAAGCAGTTGCTCTTATTTAGAAGAGAGACTGAGGGCCAGCCTGGTGGCGCAGCGGTTAAGTTCGCACGTTCTGCATCTCGGCGCCTGGGGTTCGCCAGTTTGGATCCCGGGTGTGGACATGGCACCACTTGGCAAGCCATGCTGTGGTAGACGTCCCACATATAAAGTAGAGGAAGATGGGCAAGGATGTTAGCTCAGGGACAGTCTTCCTCAGCAAAAAGAGGAGGATTGGCAGTAGTTAGCTCAGGGCTAATCGTCCTCAAAAAAAAAAAAAGACAAGAAAAAGAAGAGAGACTGAGTGTTGGTCTCCATTCATTAATGCACTTCCTCATTCAACAGATTTATTTATTTATTTATTTATTTTTGCTGAAGAAGATTCGCCTTGAGCCAACATCTGTTGCCAATCGTCCTCCTTTTTGCTTGAGGAAGATTAGCCCTGAGCTAACATCTGTGCCAGTCTTCCTCTATTTTGTATGTGGGTTGCCGCCACGGTGTGGCCGCTGCTGAGTGGTGTAAGCCCATGCCCTGGAACTGAACCCGGGCCATGGAAGTGTAGCATACTGAACTTAAATGGGGCCAGCCCCTCAACAGATATTTCTGGAGTGCCTAGTGTGTGCCAGGTATTAGTCGAGGTGCTAAGAATACAGGAGTGAACAAAACAGACAAACAGCCCTGCCTTCATGGAGCTTACATACTAGCAAGATAAATTGGTAAACTATGTTAGTGCTAATTGTTAAGGAGAAAAGAGTAAAGGAGAGAAAGGGACTGAAGTTTGGTGTGCATGCAGAGTAGGACTGAAATTTTAAATAAGGGCCTCACTAAGAAGGTGAATCTTGAGTAAAGACCTAAAGGAAGTTACAGAGCTTGCCATACAGGAATCTAGGAGAAGAAAGAGAATTCCAAGCAGAGTGAGAGCAAGTGGAAAGGACCTGAGGTTGGAGCGTGTCTGGCATGTTTGAGAAAGAGTGAAGAGGCTGCTACGTGTTTGCTGTTTTTCTTGTAGCAGAGAAATATTTCTGTCCCGTATCTTATAAAAGATTAGTCAAGGGGCTGGCCCCGTGGCCGAGTGGTTAAGTTCGCGCGCTCCGCTGCAGGCGGCCCAGTGTTTCGTTGGTTCGAATCCTGGGCGCGGACATGGCACTGCTCATCAAACCATGCTGAGGCAGCGTCCCACATGCCACAACTAGAAGGACCCACAACGAAGAATATACAACTATGTACTGGGGGGCTTTGGGGAGAAAAAGGAAAAAATAAAAAAATCTTTAAAAAAAAAAAAAGATTAGTCAAGACAAAGAGGTCTTCATATTTCAAGAACAGAAGAAAGCATATCTCTTTGGGAAATAATGAATATCCCTAGACAAAGTGTATCTTTGTAGAAAACAATCATTCTAAACACAATTAGGAAATAAAACAGTGGCAACTATGACTAGTGTACAGAAAAGATGCTGGAGGAAAAATTTAATGAATGGAAAACAGGATTACTATTTCAACAGACTTTGGACATAAGGCAGAGATCTGGGGTGGTCAAAATTACTCTTGAAAATCCCTTAGGGGGCTGGCCCCGTGGCCGAGTGGTTAAGTTCGCGCACTTCGCTGCAGGCGGCCCAGTGTTTCATTGGTTCGAATCCTGGGCGTGGACATGGCACTGCTCATCGGACCACGCTGGGGCGGCGTCCCACATGCCACAACTAGAAGAACCCACAACAAAAAATACACAACTATGTACCGGGGGGCTTTGGGGAGAAAAAGGAAAAAATAAAATCTTTAAAAAAAAAGAAAATCCCTTAGAAAGATATAACAGATCTTATGTCATTAAGTTCAGCTTGTTGCTGCCCTCAAGTTGATTGTGATTTCTAGTGACCCTGTGAGTAGCAGAGCTGAGCTCTGCCAGGTCTTTTTATGCTGTCTTCTCACCTTCCGGTGCTCTACCAGACTGCTTCACTGCTATTCACGGGGTTTTCATGGCCAATATTTTTGGAAGAGGGTGGTCAGCTCCTTCTTACTAGTCTGTCTTAAATCTGGAAGCTCCTCTGAAACCTGTCCACCATGGGTGACCCTACTGGTATTTGAAATACCAGTGGCATAGCTTTCAGCATCACAGCAACAAGCAGCAGACACAGGACGACAACTGACAGACGGGTGGTGTGGTTCCCCGACCAGGAAATTAACCCGGGCCACAGTGGTGAGAGCAACGGATCTTAACCACTAGACCACCAGGCTGGCTAAATCCAGCACAGCCAATTTTACTTCTAGTGTTGGAACCAGAACTCCATTTCCTCAGTTGAGCATCAGATGAGATAGTCTGCCATGTTATATAAACGAAACAAAACAAAACAAAAGTAGGTAGCAAAACAAAGCAAAAGTAGGTAGCGCTAGTAGCATGAAGTATGATTATTATTTAGTAATAGATTCCTTTTTCTCCAGAATGTTCCATTTAAAAGCTATTTAAGCACACAGCAATGCAAACAATTAGTGGCTTTATGCAATCTTTATGTTATAGCTTACAGTAAAAATATAATTAAAGTATACTCTCCCAGTGGTGGTTAAAGTATCTTTTGTTATGATAGGAGACCTAGATTTTTGAAATTGCCAACTATCTCAAATACTGGGAGGAAAAACTTTTTTTGCTGAGGAAGATTCACCATGAGCTAACATCTGTTGCCAATCTTCCTTTTTTTCTAATCTTCCTCTTTTTTCACTTGAGGAAGATTAGCCCTGAGCTAACATCTGTGCCAGTCTTCCTTTGTTTTATATGTGGGTCACTGCCACAGCATGGCTGACAAGTGGTGTAGGTCTGCACCTGGGATCTGAACCTGCAAACCCAGGCTGCTGAAGTGGAGTTTGCTGAACTTAACCACTATGCCATGGGGCAGGCCCCCACTTTTTTTGGTGAGAAAGATTGGGCCTGAGCTTACATTTGTGGCCATCTTCCTCTATTTTGTATGTGAGACACCTGCACAGCATGGCCTGATGAGTGATGTGTAGGTCCACACTGGGGATCTGAACCAGCAAACCCCAGGCTGCCAAAGCGGAGCGTGCAAACTCAACCACTATGCCACCAGGCCAGCCCCCAGGAAAAACATTTTGATACCAAAAGCTGTTCTTTAATTTGTCCTATGCTTTCAGGTAATGCCCATAGATTACTGACCAAGGAATTTATTTCTAAGTGAGTTAGAGTTTAGGCAAGTATATCAGATTTGTTGTTTTATATTGGTTAGATTTGCTTGAATTTATTGATATCTGAGGTGTTATTTTCTGCATGGTTGGCTGCTGAAAATAATGGATATCTGCAAGCTATTACTGAAAAAAAGACAGCCCAGTAGTTAAAGTCCTTTATTTGACTTCTTAGAGGAGGAAAAATTTTGAAGACCATGTCACAGATCATAATCCTCTTAAGAAAACATTAGAGAAATAAGCCATTATAAAAGTACTTGAGGTCTGAAAACACTTGATAGGACACAGGGTTTTAAAATAATTACTCAACTATTTCAGAAGGTTCTAGAAAACATTGCCACCCACAAAAAAATATCTTTTGAAACTGACTTGTGAGATTAGTCATCCCATAGGTTTCTTAAGACACTGTTTCCCATATCATACTTGCTGGATTCTAAATTATAAAGCTTGTTAGCTTCAGATTTCTCTTTTTCACTTTGCCCCCCCTCACTTGCTAAAGTAAATAAAACCAGTATTAGAGATGCTCAACAAAAGGCAAGGATTTATCAGAATTACCTGTGGTGTTTCTTCTACAGTCTTTCCCACTTCCCTTTCAAACAGAACTCTAGCAGTACTTTAAGAAAAGCATACGTCATAAGCAGAACCTCACCAACTGTTAATTACATTTGTACTGTGCTCTCTGGTGATCTCACCCTTCCAATGCCAGTGAGGGAGGGATAGGGTCACAGGCCCACCTCGCCATGGCACACCCCACAGGCACAGGCAGGTACTCAGCAACATGTTCTTTTGCACACTTGTATTTTTGGGGACCAAGTTATTGTGGCAATGCTGTAGATAGGAGGAAATTAGAGTGTTAATTTTAGTGTGTGTAAAGTATCACCAGGCTTGATACTAAATCAAAAACGCTCATCCAGCCTTTATCCTGGATTTTGTGTGCATTATAAATTCTCAGAATTAAGGAGGTTAATTTGTAATTCTGAATCTTCTCTCATCATTTTTTGGAAATTATGTATATCCATGAAGTAGATTTTAGTATTATATTGTTTTAATTACGGACTTACATATTTGTAATGTGATTTTTAGGAGGAAGCACAATCATTACTAGAAAACCTGTATGTTTACCATACAAATTACTTCCTGGTTTTGAGATGTCTTCATCAATTCACCTCTTCTCTTCCCAAGTACCCATTGGGTCGACAGGTAACTTCTTCCTTTGAAATCTATAAAGTAGGAATATTAGTAGTTTTTTGCTTTGATTTCAGTAGCATTCAGGGATATCAAAATTTGAAATGGATCCAAATCTTACAGTGAGTGCACAATCTAAATCAATTCCAGCTGTACACATGATTGGTAACTGAAACAGTATTTTTTGTTCTGATGGCCACAACTAGAAACAACCACCTGAATCTCAGTGGTATTGCTTCCCCTACAATGTATTTGTGCTAATGCATTTTAACTTTCTTTAACACTTCTTTGTCACTTATACCGAGAGAGCTAATCCTCCACCTTAGTGAAATGGAAAAAAGAATCTGTTTAAGAATGTTTAATGGTTAACCTTGCGTGGCACCAAGAACTAAAAGGGAAGCAGCACTTCTGCTCCTTGCAAAATTGTGCTCCTCTGGCCTTTGTGTCATACCACACACCTGTGGACCATCCGTAGAATGGATGTTAATGGAAGAATTCTGAATTCCTAAGTCTTTGCATCCTTAACTCAAAGGTTTAGAGAACAAATATAGATATGTAAGAATGACTTGTTTATAAGACAATTTCTGCCATTAAGCCTTCTTTTTAATAATCACATTATCTTTTTATCATTTTCTTATTACAAAGTGACCCGTAATATCAGCCAATCCCAATATAGTCTCGTTTTGCTTCTGTGTAAATGGTGTTCTTATAAAGCCTGATCCATGTGATATATGCCAAGTCTGTTGTCAACTAAAGAAAATGGTTGTTTTTAATAACACTAATTTTTTGTCTTGACCATTTATGATTTTGCCAAACTGGCAGTGTGCAAACTTAATATATCACTCTTGTTTCCTCACGAGTATACTCTTCACTTACAGATCAGAGAGCTGTACTGCACATGTTTGGAAAAGAACATATGGGATTCAGAGGAGTATGCATCGGCCTTGCAGCTGCTGAGGTAGTTCTTTTGTTGTTTTTTTCTTTTTTGTCTGCTCCAAGCCTGCCAATAAGTAACACCTTTCTCTAGAACTCTGCCTGCCAAGGAGTTTCATAAGCGGCCATTTTGTGTCTAATATTTGTATATATCTTGAATTTATGTTTGTAGCTTATAGTGTTTTTAATATAATGCCCATCCATTTCTTTGCTGGTTTTACCTTATTTTTGAACTTGTGATTTTTAAAGTAAAATGAGTTTTTGTTTGGTCAAATATTGACACTACATGAGGAGAGCTTAGGTATGGACCATTTTCATCCAGCCAGCTTGACGTCATGGCAGGGAAAGTAGTCATGGAAGGTGAGCTCACCATGGCCCGACCTGTCTGAGTGGAGGAGCAGCGTCACGGATGAAACTTCATTTCACGGGCTGAAACGAAGCCTGTGAAGGTCTCTGCTGACCTTGATGAGGAACAGCCAAGAGTAGGTAGTGGTTTTGATGCCTTCCCCTACCTGAGCTAGCTTTGTTCACATTAATAATGGGTAATTCATAAATTATTTACCTCCTAGTATATGAATAAATAAGATATTTTAGTGTTATTATCAGATATCAAAGATCATTTACTATCCCCAACAAATTTACGTTTTAAAGTTATAATCATTTGTTTTCCTTGGCTTTATTTGTTATATGTATGGTGACTTCTTAGTCTTCCATAAAAATAATGATCACATGGATAATGAGAAACGGAAAATCAAGTGGAGTTGTTTCTGTACAGTCTTATAATTTTCCTTAGTGGATACAAATGCTTATATGAAAATATCATAAAGAAGTCTGAGAACTGAATATTTCTTAAGTCTTGGCTTCCTCTGGGCTCACAAGAAAAGAACAGATGGGCACAGTAGGAGGAAAATTCACAGTGAAAGCACTTTAAGTCCGAGACTTAATAATACAAATGTTAGTGATCTAGCAGGTGCAGATTAAGATAGGAAACTAATTTTATGCTATCTGAAAAAATAACTCCCTATGGAAACTAGATTGCCACTGAAAAGCTATGTTTTATTTCATTTATTTAAATGCCAATAACAGATTTCTTTGTATTTATATACTTCAACTAGAATATTTCTCAGATTTCTTTTGTTTTCTCTTCAGCTCAACATACCTACCTCAAACACCCACTTGATTCTTGCTGGATTTCCTCTTTAACCTTTGTGATTAGTGATTGTCTTCCTTCTCCAGTTGGGTATTCCCAAACTCATAGATTCCTTTGTCCAGGAGTAACTTGTTCCTTTCCTTCTGCATCTCCCTGGCACTGGTAATCTTGGAGTACAAGTCAAGGATCAAAAATGTCAATTCCAAACTAGGGCAAGGAAACATGAGCAATAATAGTAATCATGACCCTAGTAACCATGGCTTATGAAAGCTTGCAGTGCGCCAGGCACTGTGTTCATACTTTCAGTATATCTTCCAGTCTAACACTCAGGTACATCTTAGTAGCAGATACTATTAGCCACACTTTACAGCTGAGAAAACTGAAGCTCACGTAGGTTGCAGGTGATTTGCCTGAGATCTCTTAGCTGTTGATGGAACCGGGATTCTAATCCAAGTCTGACTTCAAAGCTCTTGTATCTTCCACTGTTCTTTGCTAAGATCTAAAATATGGATTTGGGGATCTGAGTAAAGCAGAAGCAATAAATAGAAAGTCATTTTGCTAAGCTGAGGTCAGAAACATAGGAATATAAAAAGCACTAATCGTCAACTATAGTAGCTACAGCAAGGACAGGCAAGAGTCTGGGCACTAGAAGAGGGAAAAAGAATCTGGGAACTTCCAGACTGGAATTCTTTTCCCCTTTGTACACAGTAGATGTGGACAAGAAGTCAGGAACACTTGTCAGTTGAGGCATTCTAAGTAGGAATCATCTGAATTTAGGAAAACAGACATTCTTATCACTTGTCTTCAAACAATTCAAGTCATGAGAGAAAATGAGATTAAAATGATCACTGAATGTTACTTTGGAAAGAAAAACTAGGCACTGTTAGAAACACAGTACAGTAACATTTCCAATTTGAATTTTTTTGTTAAGGAGGACCTTAAAGGCAGTATTTCTCTTGAAAAATCCTTTTTCTGGAAACTGGCATATTTACATAACCATAGATCTACTTGATGAAATATTTTGTGTCCATTAAAAAGTATTTAATTCCTAACATATGTATGGAACCACAAAAGACCCCAGATAGACAAAACAATCTTGAGAAAGAACACACAGGTGGAAGCATCACGCTTCCTGATTTCAAACTGTATTACAAAGCTACAGTAATTAAAACAGTATGGTATTGGCACAAAAAGACATATAGATCAATGGGACAGAATAGAGAGTCCAGAAATAAACCCATGCATATATGGGCAAGTAATTTATGACAAAGGAGGTGAGAACATACAATGGGGAAAGGATAGTCTTTTCAATAAATGGTGTTGAGAAAACTGGACAGCCACTTGCAAAAGAAGGAAACTGGACCACTATCTTACACCATTCACAAAAATCAAATCAAAATGAGTTAAAAACTTTGAACATAGACTTGAAACCATAAAACTAGAAGAAAACCAATGGTAAGCTCTTGATGTTGGTCCTGGCAATGGCTTTTTAGCTTTGACACCAAAAGCAATGGCAACAAAAGCAAAAAAAAAAAAAGTGGGCCTACATCAAACTAAAGAGCTTCTGCACAGCAAAGGAAACTATCAACAAAATGAAAAGGCAACCTACTGAATGGGAGAAAATATTTGTAAATCATGTATCTGGTAAGGGGTTAACATCCAAAATATATAAAGAACTTATACAACTCCATAGCAAAAAAGACCAAACAATCTGATTAAAAAATGGGCAGAGGATCTGAATAGACATTATTCCAAAGAAGACATACAGATGGCCAACAGGTACATGAAAAGGTGCTCAGCATCACTAATCATCAGGGAAATGCAAATCAAAATAGAATGGCTGTTGTCAAAGAGACAAGAAATGTGTTGGTGAGGATGCGGAGGAAAGGGAACCCTTGTGCACTGTTGGTGGGAATGTAAACTGGTGCAGCCACTATGAAAAACAGTATGGAGGTTCCTCAAAAAATTAAAAATAGAACTACCATATGACCCAGCAATTCCACTTCTAGGTATTTATCCTAAGGAAACAAAAACACTAGCTCAAAAAGATATCTGCACTCCCATGTTCATTATGGGATTATTTACAACAGCCAAGACATGGAAACAACATAAGTGTCCGTTGATAGATGAATGGATAAAGGAATTGTATACATACAACGGAATATTATTTAACCATATAAAGAAGGAAATCCTGCCGTAACACTGAACTCATAGACCAGAGAACAGGTTGGTGGTTCCAGAGGTAGGGGATGGGAGATGGGCAAAATGGTTGTAGGTCCCCAAATGTACAAACTTCCAGTTATAAAATAAATAAATCCTGGGGATATAATGTACAGCATGGTGACTATAGTTAATAATATTGTATGTTTGAAAGTTGCTAAGAGAATAGATCTTAAAAGTTCTCATCACAAGAAAAGAAATTTACAACTGTGTGATAATGGATGTTAACTAGATTTATTGTGGTGATCATTTCACAATATATACATATATTGAATCATTATGTTGTACACTTGAAACTAATATAATGTTATGTCAGATGTATCTCAATTAACAAAAGTATTTACAAGGAATTTGTAATAATGTGGGAAATGTTTGTCATACATTCGTGAGTGGAAAAAGACCTACAGGATTTTATATCAGAGTTTTTTAAAAAATGTATGCAACAAAACATTGATGTGTGTGGGGGAGCATGCAAATATGCCTTTATAATATGTCATTATTTGACACAAGTGCAATGGTTCTGCATGTCTTCCATAGCCTTTCCTCTCTCACTCAACTCTTAGAGCATGAAGACTTATACAGGATATGAGTTGGTTAATTTTTTGCTCAACCATGTATCATTCCACAAGTACATATTTAAGTTTTGGAATAGGAAGTGGTAAAAAGGATGTTAACCCAGCAATGAGCTCGATGAGTACAGTGGCTTCTCCAGGTCAGCTATGAAGGATCTTAAGAAGAAAAATTTACCTTTCTATTGGAGAGAATTTCTAAATAGCCATCTAGAAACCAAACACTAGACCAGGAATTTTTCAGACTTTTGAAATTCAAAAAACTCTGTTTCAATAATAAGGTCTTAAGGGTTTATATAAATCATAGACTCCTCAACTTAGAGGAACATAATGGATCAGCTGGACCTGAAGAATATTGCACTCACATCAGTAGCAGTGAATGGCTATGGGAATGATTCTTGGATTGGGGAAAATGAAAAGTGTGCCCCTCTTCTTTGGGGAATTTACTATGCCGTCCACTCTGTCAATTGAGAGTTATTCATCTAGAGTTAGCCCATGTTCTTCCAAATAAGGAAACCAAAGTGAGAAACATTGAGTGACTTTTCTGCAGTTGGCAGAGCTGGGATTTAAATCTGAATCTTCAAAGTTCAGTCCATTTTTCAGCCCTATTCCAATTATTTGAGAGGTGGTATAAAAGGAAATTTATATGGGTTTGTGGCCAATAGTCCATGTTCAGAGCGTACCCAAAATTTTAAAATGAGCCAGCAGAGCAAGCCTCTGTGCACTCAGTACCCCCCCCTCCCATCTTGGCACAGGATACAGACATATAAATGAAAGGAGCCACAGTGTCTAGGCTGCTTATCCCAAGTGTAACCTTATGTGCTTGCTACAGAAACAGATTTGTAAATTGAAGGTGATTGATAGCTGAAGGAATTTACTTTAGGCTGAAAGAAATTATTCTAATTTCTGAGTAAGGCTTTTGAGTTAAACAGTAATATATTAGCAAGTCAGCTCAGCTTTCATTGAGTTAAAAAAAAAATGACGCATGACCCAAGTAATAATATTAACATTTGATCACTTTAGCTTAGTTCAAAGAGATTAGAGATTTGGAATCTAAATAATGCATTGTTTCCTGACTTTGCAGAT